TGTAGCAAGAAGCATTTTATCAAGATAAAGAAAATATTACAGTATCCAGAATATTTTTAAATATTCAAATATTTTATGAAGGAACAAAGACATACCTTTACCAAACGGCCTGGCTGTAGAAATGGTAAGCAGTATTTTGGTTTATGAATATAATCTTCAATTTCTTTACCCAGTTTGGCAAGTTGCTGTCTAATCTTATAATAGATTACTACACTTTCTTCATTGGGAATTACTATTTTATTATACTGTTGTTCTGAGTTCTTTACCTCTGTAAATAAAACATATACATGATATAAAAAATTATATACCTTACATAAATTATAACCAAGAAATTTATTTTCCCACTATAACTACATTTGGAAAAGTTAGTTTGCATAGATTATATGTTTTAAGAAAAAGATCTTCAGAGAAGACTGTAGGGCATGATGTCTCGTTTTTCCCCCTTCTGTTAAGATTTACCTTCTTTGTCTCCAACTTATCTCTTAGTTAATCAAATTATACTGGATTCTACTTGCTGCCCTAATCTTGCTTCTAGTGCTGACCGCCTTTCTTTACTCATTTCATTATACCTCCAACCCACTGTTAACAAACTATTTTTATTGTGGCATAATACACATAAAATTGTACCATTAGTAATATTCAGTACATTCACAATGTACCCCCTACCACTATTATCTAGTTCCAGAACTTTTTCACTACCTCCAAAGGAAATTCCATATCCTTTAGGCAAATACTCCTTATTCCTGCTTCTGCCAATCTTTCTCTCTATACTTTCTGTCTCTCTATGCATTTGCCTATTCTACATATTTCATATAGATGGAATCATACAATATGTGGCCTTTGGTGTCTGGCTTCCTTTACTTAGCATATTGTTTTCAGGATGTAGTTTGTATCTGTATTTCATGACTTATGTTTGAATAATATTCTACTATATGAATATACTACATTTGTTTACACATTTACCAGCTGATGAACATTTGGATTGTTTCCACATATTAGCTACTGTTCATGGTACTGCTATGACCATTCATATGAGACCAAGTTTTATATGAACACATTTTCAATTCTTTTGAATATATATTCAGGTGTGGAGTTGCTGGGTCACAAAGTAATTCTGTATTTAATCTGTTGAGGATGGCTGCCAAACTACTGTCCACAGTAACTATAGCATTAAGAAAATGGTATAGTTACTTAAAAAAAAAAAAAACAAAAAAAAAAACTCACCTCAGTGACTGAAGTGGTTTTGATTTACATTTCCTTTATGACTAATGTGTTTCTTGGCCATTTCTACATAAGTTAGAAAAATGTCTAACTGAATTGCCTTTTGTTGCTGAGTTGTAACAGTGCTTGATATATTTTGGATACTAGACAGATTATCCAGATGGATAACTTGCAAATATTTTCTCCCATTTTCTTTTTTTCTCTTGGCAGTACTGGGGATTGAACTCAGGGTCTCACACATGCTAATTTTAATACTATTATCAACCATTTCACAAACTGTTCTCTCAAATAGCTAGTCTTTTGTATTCCCTTGAGTATAAAGCATTACCTTGGTTATTTTTAAATGACTGGATCTTTTTTATTGGGAGGGGGGGTGCAATACTGGGGTACTGAATTCAGTGGCACTCTATTAAACTATATCCCTAGCAATTTTATTATTTATTTTTAAGGCAGGGTCTTGCTAAGTTGCTCAGGCTGGCCTGGAATTTGTGATCTTCCTGCCTCAGCCTTCTCAATAGCTGCAATTACAGGGATGCACCAGCACACCCAGCTCTGGTTACTTTTAAATGAACTGCATCACTGCTTACAGGGATTGTATTTAATTCATTAAAGGCTAGAACGCTGTCCATAACAATACATAATATGGCAGTAAATTATCAGAAAAAGAAAAAAACTAAAAACCTACAAAAAGATACATAACAGAAGTCATTAAGAAGTTATATGAAAATAAAAACTGCACAATGAAATGATAATCCAGCTCTTCCACCTAAATTTACGAAGTAACACTATGAAGTACTCATTGGAACACAGCATTAACAGAAAGAGTTTAAGGAGATAATAAATTATCTGCTTGCATGCTTCCCTATTATCTACCTTCCTCTACTCCAAATCACTTCTATATTAGATCATTTAACTAATGAGATAAAATATTTAAAGATATTTTTAAAACTCACATTATTTTGTATCTAAGACTTACTACAGTTTTATACCACCCCAGAAAGTCAGTAAGTATAGGCAAGCCCTGATTTTTCTCCAAATTGAAAGAATTCAATTTCTCTAATCTCTTCTCAAAAGCTAAAGAAAGAACAAAAAAGTTGTGCTCTCTTATCCATGAGGTATACGTTACAAGAACCCCAGTAGATGCCTGAAACCATGGATAGTACCAAATCCCATGTTTTAACTTAAACATACAAACCAATGATAAAGTTTAATATATGAATCAAACACAGTACAAGATTAAGAATAATAATAAAATAAACAATATACTATAATAAAAGCCATGTGAATGTGGACTCTATCTCAAAATACCTTACTGTACTACATTCTTCTTTTTGTGATAATGTAAGATGATACTGAAAGGAAGTAATTTATGACCTTCTTCTTTTTAGCATGTCTGAACTTACAGCATCACTACCTTTGTGCTATTTCTTCAACGCTCTGTGATACAATAATAATAGATATGATAATTCAGACAGCTATGAAGTGACTAATAAGTGGACAGTATATACAGCAACGATGATAGGATGATTCTTGTCCCAGGGCGGACAGAGTAAGATGGTACAAGATTTCATGATGGCACTCAGAATGGAGTGCAATTTAAAACTTATGAATTATTTTATTTCTGGACCATTTAGTATTTTCACCTACAGTTGATCATGGGTGGCTGAATAAGCAATGTTCAACTGTGGATGGTGGTAGGAGTGGGTGGGTAGGGCAACTATATATCTCCTATCACATTCAGAGAGTAAAAGTACATCAGCATAAGAAGCTGGTTTCAATGAAGGGTAAAAAGTAGAAGATCCTATGAGTACTTGACACCAGTATTTTAGGAAGTAACATTTAAAACACACCTATAAACTCTTAAGACAGTTTGCAACCAAATACGTAGAAGAGACCTGTGAATGACAGAGAAACAAACTGCCACTCCCAATACTATGCAAAATTTTCAACAGATTCAAGTGTAAATTGCTTTACTGATCAAGAGTAATACTCTCAGTAATTACAACAAGCACTTACTAAGCATGTAACATTATTTCATTTAATTCTCATGAGATGCATTATCCCAATATCACAGAACAAATAATTAAGGCTCAGGTAGAACTGAATCAAACCCATGTCTAATTCCACAACTCTACTATTAGCCATGGTATAATCAATTAATGAAGCTAAACAAAAGGATTAAATTAGGTTTGCATTTTTTAGTCAATAAAATAACAGTGAAATCCTAGTTTTACTATAATTCAGTAAACCAAATTATAAGTATCTCTTGTATGAAAAGATGTATAACAATAAATAAAGCACTGTATTACTAAATAAAGATTTATTCCGTATCTTTAAAAATAATAGTCTACATTTCAGGTTTCAAAGTATTAGAAAAATGGCATCATTTCTTTAAAAACATATGTAGGGACTGAGCATACTGCAAGAAGATATGCACGTATACAAGCAACACTAGGAAGGGTAAACATCAGGAATTACATCAAAATGAAACAAAACAAAAGCTGAGGTCTGAGAAAATAGAGGATAGGGAATGGAGAAATAGGGGTTATATTTTAAGTTTACAGAATAAGTAACAGAGTCTTGGTCAAAGTCATAATGAACAATGTGAACTCAGAGTCATAGAAGGGCTTTAAATAAATAAGAAAATATTTGTGAAGTTTTCCCTCTACATCCCAATGTACTTATGGTATTTTCTATGGAAATGCAAAATAAGTATAAAAATAGACTGTTGGACTACATAAAGGGCGGGGGGAAGCAAATATAAGTATACCAACACGCATCTCTGTTTCTCTTGGTTATTCAGTTTATAAACCAGTCTAACCACTGGGTACATATAAATGTAATTATCCTACTTTGCATAACTTAGTGCTGCCTAGTAAGACTTTAATTCTTTTAAACTATCGTAACCATATACCTGTTTCAATGAAAATATCTGAAATTTCTATGATATGAGCTAAAATTCATGAATTTCCTTCTCTCATGCTAATCTGATTTCAAACCCAAATCCAAAGTGTACTTAAATTTGATTCAAACTCAAATCCAAAGTATACTTAAATCTTCTTGATCTTATTTTATTATTACATAATTCTTGGTGGGAGGAGACTTATAGCTCCCTTAAAAACACAGTTCTCTAGGGCTGGGATTGTGGCTCAGCGGTAGTGTCCTTGCCTGACATGTATGAGGCACTGGGTTCGATTCTCAGCATCATGTATAAATAATGAATAAAATAAAGGTCTATCAACAACTAAAAAAAACATATAAAAAGAAAATACAGTTCTCTAAAACTAAAAATATACTTTCTCTTTGCTATCAACAAATGGCATTATATATTTTTATAAGAAAATAATAAAAACATCTGAAATTATATATTTGCCATTGATTTTATAGATGTGCTTTAAAAATTCAACAACTTTCTGAAAATTTAAAGGTGAGTCTTAAAACCACCTAGCTCAAGTTTTTTATTCTTTTGTCATCCTTATTTTATTTCAGTTAAGGGAGTTACTAGAGATACTCTTGTCCTCTTCTTAAAAAGATTGGTTGGTAGCAGGAGTCCAAGATTCTAATCTTGATTCTGCCATAAATCAAATGTATAACTTAAGACACTGACTTAATTTCTCTAGCTCTAACCCACACCCATTTTTAAATCTGTAAAATGATGCCAAAGCTCCTTCAGGTTATATGTTGAAAAGATTTTATCTAACACCAGAGGTATTAAGGGGAAATAGTTATGGTTATCATCTAGGCAAAGGTTAAAAACAATGAGAGAAAATTTTTGTTTTTAAAATATGAACTGCTTCACGAATTTGCATGTCATCCTTGCCCAGGGGTCATGTTTATCTTCTCTGTATCGTTCCAATTTTTGTATATGTGCTGTTGAAGCAAGCCACCAAGATAGACTTTAACTTTCTTGGATCTCCTAAGCCTTTTCCATTCCTCTAGGGCACATTATACTTCATTTAATTTGGCGACAATAAAAATGAGTGGGTGAGGCATGTGAGGCGCTAGGTTCAACCCTCAGCATCAGATGAAAAAAACCAAATAAAATAAAGGCATGCTGTCCATCTACGACAACAACAAATTAATAAAAAAAAAAAAAAAAAAAAGAGTGGGTGAGTGGGTCTCTACTTACACGTAGTAAGTTAAAACCACATTGTAAGTCATGTTGTAAGTCCCCACTTTAAAAAAAAACAGATTAGAACTGACCTACATACTAGAGACAGAAAGAAATCTCATTGTTAAATAAATAATGGTATATTCACAAAATAAAATATTATGCACTTATTTTAAAAATCACATTTTTCTTTTGGGGGAATGGGGTACTGGGCATTGAATTCAGGGACACTCAACCACTGAGCTACATCCCTAGCCCTATTTTGTATTTTATTTAGAGACAGGGCCTCACTGAGTTGCTTAGTACCTTGCTTTTGCTGAGGCTGGCTTTGAACTTGTGATCTTCCTGCCTCAGCCTCCTGAGCTGCTGGGATTACAGGTGTGCACCACCACACCCAACAACAACAAAAAATCACATTTTTTCAAAGGAACTTAAACTTCAATTTTATTTTTTTATGACTTTTTAAAATATTTATTCTTAAGTTTTAGGTGGACACAATATCTTTATTTTGTGGTGCTGAGAATAGAACCCAGTGCCTCGTGCATGCTAGGTGAGCTCTCTACCATTGAGCCACAACCCCAGTCCCCCGAACTTCAATTTTAAAAAGCTACAATTAACAAGCTAGTAAATGTAAAACATTTAATACAGGCTAGGCATAGGGTAAATATTTAACATATGATATAAACAATAAGCAATGATATAAATTACAAGCACAATAGTAACTATTATGAAAAAAGCTCAACTGTATTTACCTTATAAAAAAAGAAAAGCACAAGCATGAGAAAGGATGGAAGAAATACAAACTGTTAACAGTAGTTGTACAGCCACCTGTGTGAGATTATAAATGGTTTTGGCTTTTCTGTTTACTGCACTTTTCTTTTTTTGCAATAACTGTGAACTATTTTTATAATATTTATGTAAACCAGTAACTTAAACTTTTGCCTTTATTTACTTTTAAATCAGCACTATATGATGACCTGCCACACTACCCTTTATAAAGATCAATGAACAATTTGAATGTAGTTACCATAGAAAATTTAGTTTTGGACTTTAAAAATCATTATCTTAATATCAGGAATTAGAAGTTCTAAAGGCAGTGAAATGAATCCACATTAAAGCATTATATTTCAATAATCATTCATAAGCTTATGCTGTGACACTCTCATAATGAGAAGTAGTAAAAGGTTAAGACTAATATATACATGTTTCTTACAAACCAAATTTTAATATGCCAAGCTTTTGGTTGTACTATTATTCCAGAACATGAATAATGTGATACATATATCTGTATCTAAACCAATAAATTGTACTATGGTGGAACCAACTAGAAAAAACTGTATTGCCAAATGTTCCTCTCTATAAAAAGACCAGAATTTAGTTCTGCAGTCTTTTTTATATAGAGACCAAGCTTTGCCTTACTAGAGAAAAAAAAAAAAAAGTGGCCAAATGCAGTCAGCAATGCAGTCATTTTGTTATTACAGTAATTTTATACTTACTTTCTCTGTTACAGTCATTTTATACTTACTTTCTACTACTCCTGGAATTGCTCTATAATGCTGAAACTGGTAGAAGGATTTTTCCAACATATACTCAGGATTAATTTCTTCTACACGTAGTAAGTTTAAAACCATGTTGTAAGTCAAATGAAAAGCACTATTTAGAGGATCAGCTGAGCCCTAAGGGAGAATAACATATCAATGTCATAAGTTTTTAAATAAATTCTTATAAGCATTTTAATGTTATAATGCTTAATCATTTAATCTATGTTATGTGATACTACAGAACTATACTAGTTCTTTCCCTTAGATGACTAATGTAAAGTGATAAAATAGTTGATGTTTGGGAAAGTGAAGGGGGAAAAAAGAAATCACTAGGACAATAGTAATTAAAACACTATGCCAAATGTGTTTAGTTTTCTGCTTTGCAAGCACATGGTAGGATCATGCTTTTCTGGCCCCCTAATAAATTGAGAGGAAAGTGACATGTCACTTCCTGGGTGCTTATTTACTTGCTGGTGTGAAAAGCTATCATTTCCCCTCTGGCACAGTGACTAATAATGTACCAGATTATTGTGGTATCATCAGATCTAACAATGATAAGTACAATCTCCTCTACCAACCAGCAATGAATACATAGCAGGTAAGAGAAACAAGTCTTAAGTTCCTAAATTTACATCTGTTAGTGAAGCATGAGTTAATGTATATTGACACAGCACACTAAAATTATATTGGTATGATACTCAGATAAAAATGCATTTTCAAATTTTTATTTATTTATTTTTGATGGTGCTGGAGAACTTAGGGCTTTCCATGTGTGAAGCAAGTGCTCTAACCACTTACCTCCGTCCCCAGTCCAATAAAAGTATCCTGAAATTCCTGTGACAAACTGCTAAATTTAAAGACCATTCTTTATGTATATTTCAATAATTCCTTTTTGTCCTCCTAATTGTGGCTGTTACCAAAGAAGGGCGAGACTAAGGAATAGATAGTATATTTCATTGTAAGATACAATAAATTTTATTGTGGAATTTTAAAATAGTGTGACCTTAACTTACAATAAGGTTTATATCCAAAATATTACCTTTACATCTAAACTTTTTTTTTTTAGCAATGTTTTCTTCGGAAGTATGTTTTTAAATGCTAATACCTCATAAGTATGAAAGTATATAATTATATAAAAGAATGACTAAATCATTGAGGGAATATGCTGAAATATTTAGAAATTTTACTAAGTATGCTAAATATTTCTAAACGGTGTAGTAAAATATGCAAATTCTATTATTCAGGGTATCTTAAGTTGAGAACTACAGACCCACCATTTAGAATTCAGACTTTTAAATGTATGTAGACAGCTTTTATGAGAAAAAGAAGTAGATCTTTTACCAGAATATCAAATGAAGGTATTTAACTCTGAAAACCTCAAGAGCCATAAAATTCGGAAATTTATTCACTTACCTTAACAATAAGGCCCAAAAGAGGGGCAAATTTAGCATAAATAACAGACTCTTAGAAAAGAGGAACTGGACAACTTCAGCTATTTTTTAATTCTGCAAACAGGCTCAGTTTTAATTTTCTGTTATTTTTATCTTCTGTATTACCTCCTCTAAGAAATCTGGGGTTTCAATATGCCAAATGTTTATTTCTAAACCCAAGCTCTACTTCTGTATTTTTTAAAAATATTTATTTTAGTTGTATTAAGACACAATACCTTTATTTTATTTATTTATTTTTATGTGGTGTTGAGGATCGAACCCAGGACCTTGCATGTGCTAGGTAAGTACTCTACCGATGAGCCACAACCCTAGCCCTGCTTCTGTATTTTATGAAAAATTTTTTAGTTGTACATGGACACAATATCTTTAATTAATTTATTTATTTTTATGTGGTGCTGAGGATCAAACCCAGTGCCTCACATGTGCAAGGCAAGTAAGTGCTCTACCACTGAACTACAACCACAGTCCATGCTTCTGTATTTTTAACTGCTATACAAGACACACAATTGAATTTTCAGTTACCAGAAATTCAGCATAGATTCTGACACTGTATCCAAGTAAGCCCAAGGTAGTCCAACCTTTCCCTATTGAACTGGTATAATACTAATAGCCCCTTCCTTTTATCTTACAGTATTCCAGTTTGAATGAAAAATAAGATAGTTATACTATTTAAAATAAAATCTCTCTTGTTTTTTCCCTATCTAACCAACTTATTTCTCTCATAGATTAAAGGAAAATGAGTTTCTCACTTAAGTTATAATTTAGGAGTTCTTTCTTCTGTTTTTCCCCCCTTCCTTTTAATTAATCATTACAGATTATTTCCTCAATACATTTCAGATTAGTTTTTGCTTTCTTACCATTGCTACCATTTCAGTTCAGTGGTTCATCAAATCATACCTAAATTACACTACCATCTTTTTTTTTTTTTTTTTTTTATAGTGAAAACTTTATTTTTTTTATTATTTTTTTTTTAATTTTTTTTTATTGGTTGTTCAAAACATTATAAAGCTCTTCACATATCATATTTCATACATTAGATTCAAGTTGGTTATGAACTCCCAATTTTACCCCAAATACAGATTGCAGAATCACATCGGTTACACATCCACATTTTTACACTACCATCTTAACTGTTCTAGTTTCAATTTCAATTTATTTAGTATGATGAATCTAAGATTCTGTTAAAAGAATCTTCTTAACTATAATTTCATTGTAATATTGGGATCACTTCTCTATTCAGCAGTAATATATGACTATATAAATTCCCTCTTGGTACCGAAATCAATCAAGCAATTACACACACACACACACACACAGTGTAGTATACCCATACAATGGAATATTAACTGATAAAATAGAAATGAAGTACTGACACATGACACAAGATGAAACCTGAAAACATTACATTGAGCAAACAAAGACAGATACAGGAGGCCACATTTTATATGAGCCTGTTCATCTGAAATGTTCAGTATAAGCTAATCTATAGAAACAGAAAGATTAGTAGCTGTCTAGAACTTAAGAAGCCAGATTTTAGTAGTGAAGGAGAGTGACTATTAAGAAGTAGAGGGTTTCTTTCTTGGGTTGCTGAAAATGTTCTAAGAATTAAATGAAAGACAACAGATCTTTACACTTACAGAGCAACAAATCCAGAAATGTCAAGTGAATGGAATGAAACTGTACTTAAAGAACCAGATGCTATCCTAAAAATATTACCTCCTACAATCTGGCAACCTGATTCTGTTCTTTTCATACATATAATACAAGGAAAGAAAAACA